GGATATACTAGAACGTATAACTAGAGAATTTTATTTTCATATGAATTATACTATTTTATTATGTATTTGATAACAGGTGGTTTAATGAAAATATACTGAGGAATTGGAACTGTTTTATCTCCTGTAATTTTATTTTAAAATAACTATATATATTAAAAAACAAACAAACAAATTAGGTAATATGAAGCAATTAGGATGAGCAAGCCAGTAAAAAGCATGTAAAGGGACAGATAAGGATATGGCAGTGCTTTCTAAACAGGAATGAAAAATGTCAAGGCAAGGACAAAAAACCTCGAAGTACCAATTTCCAGAAAAGAATACCATAAAAACTAGTGGTTTCCCACATTTTGGTAATCATTGTTTAGAAGACTTAAAAAAAAATCCACCCAGAACAGAAAGAAAAACATAAAATGCTTTGGAAAACCAAGACAAGAAATGCTGAGTTCTTAAATAAACAAGAAAATTTTATTGTAAGACATGAAAGGGTTCAATACACGAAAAAATGTTATGGTTGAAGAAGAGAAAATAGAAAAGTATATTTTAATTGTATCCAAAGTAAATATAAAAAACAATCCCTGTGAAAATCCCAATGTATTATTTTAAATATGTTTTCATTGCTTTTTAGAGAGAGAGGAAGGAGAGGGAGAGAAACATCAACTGGTTGCCTCTCGCATGCACCCCTACCAGGGATCAAGCCTGCAACCAGAGTATGTGCCCTGATGGGTAATCGAACCTACGACCTTTCGGTCCACAGGACAATGCTCAACCAACTGAGCCACACTGGCCAGGGCTAACTCTCTATGTATTTTAAAAGTTGAGAACATTATTCAAAAGTTCATCTCAATATGCAAAATGATGCTGCCCAGTCAAGATGGCAGTACTGGCAGGTGCATGCTCACATCCTCCCACCACCACCTCAAAGGTACAGCTAGACTACAGAACCACCATGCTCCAGAATCGCCTGAGGCCCAGCGAGCAGAAGTCCTATAGCTGAGGATGTGGATGGAGAGGCAGCCACTTCGAGGCTGATGCATGCAGGCTGGTCCCACACCCACGTGTGGGGGATAAAAATCGGGAGGGATGTCTCGGCCGAGGAGGTCCCCCCTGGAGAGCAAAGGGCCCCGGCCCCACACCAGGCCCCCCAGCCCAGGGTTCAAGTGCTGGGAAGAAAAGGTCCTCTAACTTCTGGCTGTGGAAATCAGCAGGGATTGTGACTGAGTGAGATGCGGGGAGTGGGGGCGGGGGGAGGTCTTCTGGAGTCTCAGGCAGTTCCTCTTAAAGGGCCTGCCCAGGGACTTACTCGGACCTGCTCCCTCTGAGTCCTATGAGGATTAAAAAGATGAGTAAGACGCTGACCTTGATTTCATGTAGCTTGCACTTGATTTGGAATGTAAATACGTAAGAATCAATATGTTAGGGCCGTGGTCGGCAAACTGCAGCTTGCGAGCCACATGCGGCTCTTTGGCCCCTTGAGTGTGGCTCTTCCTAAGCCTTAGGAGTGCCCTAATTAAGTTAATCACAGTGTACCTACCTATATAGTTTAAGTTTAAAAAATTTGGCTCTCAAAAGAAATTTCAATCATTGTACTGTTGATATTTGGCTCTGTTGACTAATGAGTTTGCCGACCACTGTGTTAAGGGGAAAAACAAGATATTTTAAAACACTTTAAGCACAGATGGTATACTATTAAGCCATTTCTATGATAAATGACCAAAGTCAGATACATAAGGCACCTGATTTTTAATATAATGACACGCTTATGAGCCTGCGAGAATGTTTTCAGTAAAATGTGTCCCAAGGAACTGATAGTAATAACTAATTAACTAATCCAATGGGACACATTCATAGTATCCATCTGTATGTGGGACGATGTGTATGAACAAGGAGGTTTTAATTTTAGGTTAATTTTTCTGTAGGCAGTTTCCATGACTATTTAAATCCACCCAGAGAGACAAAAAATACATTATTAACATAGAGGGGATGCATACTTCGTTTGCTTTGTAAGAAATGCCTCTGATTCACTAATAAGTTCTCACTTTATCTAAACATACATGTAAACAGCAGATTCCATTAGAAACTATTTTGTGCTATCATAGTGACCGTGCATTCTGGGATGGCTTTTTACTCTTTCGCGTTTGGGGGGAAACATTGAGGCTCGACTCTACACTGGTATTTTCCTTTGGCCCACCCAGAGCTACTGAAGAAAGATGGCGTTTTGCAGAACTGTTTTCGTCATAAGAGCAACAATACAGCAAAAATCAATAGTGGTACAGACATGCCTAACACATGGCTACTCCTCATGCTGGAAAACGGTGTGCAGATCCCGACTGAACTAGCTGTTAGCAAGAAAACGCAAGGCTCTGTGGCCCAGAATCTGCAATATCTCTCATTGGACAACTGAGGAGCTCATTTCTCAGTCTTATTAACTAGGCCTTCTTACGCAAGACTCTCTGGTGCACCATGAATTACTGCGTGGGTGCCACAGTAAACAAATGTACAGAATGGTAACGTGCATGGTTTGGTGACTTTGGTGGGATTTAGAGCAGCATGCGTGTCAGGCTGGGGAAAGTACTCAGACTTGATTAGAGGTCAACTAATGGGAAACTGGGATTTCTGTGTAAGCAACCGCTGCAGTGTCAGACTTGACCTTTAGAAGGTGACGACAAGCTTAGAGACGTGACAGACTGGCGGGGTGGGTGGGGAGGGTGAAATGGGTGGAGTCTAAAGGTACAAACTCCAGGTAAAGGAAACAGGTGCTGGGACGTGACAGACAGCATGGTGACCTTCGTTCAGTGAGTTTCAACCTTTCCCAGCCAGCTCATGGCACATAAGCTTAGTACTGAAAGTCTGCGGCACACCAAGAAATCTATTTCTTGCCGATCTGACAAAATAAATCGGAATAATTGTAATGTATTCACAATGGACAGATATTGTTGTGCTGGCTTTTGCCACTTTTTAAAAAAAAGATCCTCTATCTATCTGTCTGTCTGTCTATCTATCTATCTATCTATCTATCTATCTATCTATCTTGGTTAATCCTCACCCGAGGATATTTTTCCATTGATTTTTAGAGAGAGTAGAAGGGAGAGGAAGAGACAGAAAGAAACATCGATGTGGAGAGACACATCGATTGGTTGCCTCCTGCACACACCCTGACCAGGGCCGGGGAACCTGCAACGGAGGTACATACCCTTGATCAGAATCGAACCCGGGACCCTTTAGCTCATGGGCCAATGCTCTATCCACTGAGCCAAACCGACTAGGGCTGTTGTCACTTTTTATTTGGCAATCTAAGGAAAAAGAGGTCAGTGCCCCTGGCTAAATAGTATTGCATGTTCTAAAAATTCTTGTGGCACACCGTTTGAAAATCGCTACTGCAGTTAATAATACTGTGTTGCATATTTGAAAGTTGCTAAGAGAGATCTTAACACTCTCATTACAAGAAAAAATTTTATTACTATATTTGGTGACAGATGTTAACTAGACTTATTTCGGTGACCATTTTACAGTACATGCAAATATCAAATCATTATGTTGGACACCTGAAACTAATATAATGTTGCAGGTCAAAAATACCTCAGGAAAAAATAGACAGACTGAGAACATCATAAGAAGGATATTTGGTAATTTATTTTCAAATAAACAAATATATATATATATGTATGTGTGTATATATATGTGAATATATATATATATTCACTATATGCAAAATGCTACTCTAGATATTTGAGCATAAGGAAGAGAAATAATGATTTGAATAACATTCCTATTTGTAAGGAGCTTAAAATGGAATTAAAAATAAAGCATAAAGGCTCAAAAGTCTAATTAAAGCACAAAAGTCATAGAACCAAAATAGTATGAAGGATAAGTTGATATATTACATGATTAAGTAGGCAATTAAGTGTCTAGACCACAGCTTATTAAACCTGGCAGCACCAATGAAATTATAGAGAGAGGTTTTAAAAAGTAAATGCTTGAGCTCTACCCCAGACCTCCTGAATGAAACTTCTGGGCAGGGTGTGGAAGACTAGGGGGAACAACTTCAGAGAAGGGAGGGGAGTTGGGGGCGATGAGACCTGGCACCTTGTACTTCATAAAGCTCCCAGATGATCCTGATGAACACAGGCTGGCACCCCAAGTAGAGAAGGACTTGAGGGTCCCTGCTGTGGGTCAGGATGGCACCCCAGGGCAGACCCATTTCTACCAGTGAATGTGGAGTGTAAACCCAAAGGGCTTGGAGTTCTGGCAGACTGTCCGCCTTAACTCCCACTTTTTCCATCTCCCCATGGACACTGAGAAAATCTAGCCTCGCTCCTGAGAGGGAGCGTACACAGGGAGGGTGCACCGCTCATGGAGGGGCGGATGGCATTGAGTTCCGAAGGCAAGGTCTTTCCTGCCCAATGCAGAAGAAGAGAAAAATCCTGCCAGGGAAAAGGAGCAGTATGTTTTCAGGAAAGTACAACCGGGCTTGAAGCCGGAGGCGTGGAAGGCCTGTTGAGAAGAAAGGGTTCGTGCAGGGGAATGTGGGGCTGTAGACGGTATCGGGTTCCCTCCTCGGGTTCCCTCCTCGGTTTGGCTGTGTTTTTATTATGGAAAAATTCGAATACCAAGTCTAGGGTTTTATGAATCTCAATTCAACAAGCTCTATGTTGTTTTTGTTTTCTCAAGCTACTCAAAAAGGTTCGTGTCTTGTTATTTTCATTATAATCTGCACATCTAGGGGGCATTCTTGGCTGTGAATTTTTGTGGGTGTTTTTTTTTTCATATTCTTTAAAGAAGGTTCTGGGTTCTTTAGTCAATTTTATTCCATCCTTGTACTTAACAGAGAAAAGCCAGGACTACAGTGACCTGGCGTTGACGACATAAAGTGTTCATGACCAGATGCCTCTGGACAGCATGCCAGAGAGAAAGAGTAACTTTCCAAGACAATGACCATTGTTCCTGAAGATTTAAAAGCTGGGGCGTATGCACCCTGCACCAAATGCCAATACTATGGTTACCTGAGTGAGTGGTTCCTGGTGAGATCAGGCTGACGTTCCTGCAGAATTTCAAAGATATTGGGTTGGCGCAGAAATGCAACGATCTTGTCATTATAAGCTGAAAATCAGAAAACAGGACAACATTTACAAACAACCTGCTATTCGTTTTGTGCATACGAATCCAAACTTTTTAAAAATCTGTTTTCCGGGTTAATATTCCTGGCACTCAAGCCACTACCAACACTTAAATTCCACGCTGTGTCTACGCTGTTATGAACATTGGACTTAGATCTATCCGGTGTGACTTTCTTTACCATTCATTACTCATTTGATGAGTCATATTTGTCATCAACTAGCAAGGTGAGATCACCAGGATTCTATCTATTGATCATTTCAAGCCACTGCTTATCAAAATCACTTCATAAGTAACTTTTAGAAATAGATAACTATCTTCTGATTACATATCAGCCATGCAGTGAGGTGAAGAGGCAGAACAAGTCCCCAAAATGCAACAGTCGCCAGCAACCGCTACTACCAAAATGCAGAGAACAAGCCATTCCTAGATGCCATCAAGCCACACATAGCTCTTTACCAAACCAACTATATCAACACCTACAACACAATCAGCAACATCAACTATCCGTTAAAAGAAAAATTTATCTTAGCCAAGGTTGCCTAATGCCCATAGAAATTTAAAAATAGTTACTTAAAATTTATTAAGGGCTTTTGTCATACCTCTTTTTATCAAGAAAACTAGTTTTTTTACTTAAGATGATTCATCTTGATTACATTTATTTATAATCAGAAATATAGGTATATTTAAATCACATAACTGAGTGAATTCTCAAATATCAGAAACCCTTAACAACTTATTTTTCTTTAACTTCAAGAATCTAATGCAATAGCTCTACTCAGAAAAGGCAGAGTGTGGCATTAAAAAATCTCCTCCTAGAGCCGTGGTCGGCAACCTGCGGCTCTCGAGCCACATGCGGCTCTTTGGCCCCTTGAGTGTGGTTCTTCCACAAAATACCACGTGCGGGCACGCACATACAGTGCGATTGAAACTTCGTGGCCCATGCACAGAAGTCGGGATTTTGTGGAAGAGCCACACTGAAGGGGCCAAAGAGCCGCACGTGGCTCGCGAGCCGCAGTTTGCCAAGCCGCGGTTTGCTGTCCACTGTCCTAGAGGATTGTACAAGACCGAAGTGCTTTGGGATTCAGATCAATTTCTTGGGGATGACACAGAGTTTCTGAGTCCAGGGCAAGAGCAGCGGGCGGACAAGGGGGCAGTGCTAGCACGGCATGCATGAGACAGGCTGGCGCAAGAAGCCGGGGTGGAGGTTTCTGGGAGGGGGTGCCATACCCACTGGAACCATGTCCTGGTACTGCGGCCTGCTGACGGTGTTGAACGTGCTGGACGGCCTGGGAAGGACGGGCGGCCCCGCGTGTCGCGAATCCTCTCCTACCTGCAGACACAAGCATCCCTTAGGCTCTGCACCGAGACCTCGCGTGCTCGCTATCAGCACCTGAGCCACGTTTTTCTTTTTGCTCTTTTTCTGGTTAATCCTCACCCGAGGATATTTTTCCATTATTTTTAGGGAGAGTAGAAGAGAGAGGGAAAGACAGAAAGAAATATTAATGTGAGAGAACATACTGATTGGTTGACTCCTATACAAGCCTCGACGAGGGCCCGGGCTAGGGGAGGAGCCTACAACCAAGGTACGTGCCCTCGACAGGAATCGAACCCAGGACCCTTTGGTCCGCAGGCCAATGCTCTATCTACTGAACCAAACCTGCTAGGGCGATGAGCATTGGTAGATACCAACTGATCAGAAGAGATGCCAGCGGGGGAGCTGGTTCGAGATTCCCAAAAGCTCTGCTTTAGTTGCTGAACTGAGTGGAGGGGCAGGACGTCCGGGTCCTGGAGAGGGGCAGGGGCAGTGACTGCTCACTGTATGGCACAGGGGTAGCTCCACACGCTCATGATGATGGGGCTGCAGGAGCTAAACAGCACACCTGCTCAGCAGGGGTGACTTCCGCCCGACAGAACCCAGACCTGCCACGGGACACGCGGAGAAAGGCCCATGCGGGACAAACACATCACACCGCGGCAGAGCCAGGGGGCACCCGCCTTCCCCGGTGGGTCAGGGGATCCTGCCTCCCAGAGGAGGGGCCTGGGCAGCCGCCTCCATGTGGGCTTCTGAGCCGGTGCATTATCTGCTCAGGAGCAATTCTGCTTGCCTATTAGAGCGCCCGGCCCAGCAGCTCTTTCTGGTTTGAACCTGCCACCCAGGGAGCTAATCATAGCAGGTGTGGAGGAGCCAAATGGGGCTGCCCTGACCTGAATTGGTTATGGGGCCTATTGTAGATACACACGCTCATTCATACCAGCAGACAAACAAAAAATATTCTGAAGAGGAAACGCCAACACTGCTTTCGCTCCGTGTTAGCGTCCCCCACCCCGATATCACAGGAGCCTTTTAAGACGACAGTGGAACAGTAGCGTTAAGATAATGAAAGGCAAAATAACACGCTGGATTTATACATCGGCACTTTTCAAACAGAGCTTCTCCTCTCACCCATTCAAATCTGCACAAGCCTTTTACCATCGGGCATCAGCGTGGGGTTTTTCTCAAGGCCCTGAAACTGGCAATGTCTCCCCACCCTGCACGGCTTGCTCATCCCCCGGGGATATTCCCACGGTCAGTGTGGAGCAGATGGCCCTCCTGAAAGCATTTCTCACTCGTGCTTGTTCATCTGTATTAGGCTTAGTTTCATCTGCTCTCTCCTTGATGAGAACACAGGACGCGAACATATGTTATGGACGCGTATCACTGAAACAAGCACCATGCAGCCACTGCAGGTGTGGGTCAGTATCACCCGGTGGATGGAAGAGATGCCGCCATCCCCTGACCTGCATGTTTGCTAATGGAGCAGAGGAGCAGGGCTGGGAAGCCCGTCCGTCCGTGTGACTGAACGGTTCTCACTCTGCCTCTCAGGAGCTACTGGCCTACGCGCAGCATGAATCCCTGCGACTCCACGGTCTGGGGGATTCCAGGGTGAACTGCGTCTCGTGTGTCAGTCCGACCTGCGTGTTTGCTAATGGAGCAGAGGAGCGGGGCTGGGAAGCCCGTCCGTCCATGTGACTGAACGGTTCTCTCGCTGCCTCTCGGGAGCTGCTGGCCCACGCGCGGCATAAATCCCCGCGACTCCGCGGTCTGGGGGGATTCCAGGGTGAACTGCGTCTCGTGTGTCAGTCACAGAGTTAGCGCTGCCGTCGCTCACAGACACATTCCCTCCTGTCCGGATGCTGCTGCTGCCACTTCCCAGGACAGCGGAGGTCCCCTCCACACCCCACCCCTCCTTCCTGCCCGGTGGCCAGCCCATGGGCGGCCCTGAGAGCTGAGCCTGTCGCTGCCTCAAGTGCACCTTCCGTCGCGGTGCCAGGACACGTGTCCCCTCAAAAAGGCTGAACAAGGCGGGCCCCAATGCTCCGTCTTTATGGGGTACCTCTCCCCACGGCTCAGTGTCCATCAAGGCAAAGAGCAATGGTCACTCAAATGTTAACGGGCACCTTAGGGCCCCTCTCAAACAACGGGCTACTTCTAGATCATGGAACTAGTCTAGATCCGTGGTCGGCAAACCACGGCTCGCGAGCCACAGGGGCACCTTAGGGCCCCTCTCCCACAACAGGCTACTTCTAGATCACGGAACTAGTCTAGATCCGTGGTCGGCAAACCACGGCTCGCGAGCCACATGCAGCTCTTTGGCCCTTTGAGTGTGGCCACGAAGTTTCAATCGCACTGTACCTACGCGCCCGCACGTGGTATTTTGTGGAAGAGCCACACTCAAGGGGCTGCAGTTTGCCGACCACTGGGCTAGATCATGGAAAGAAAATGTGAGTCCAGCTATTCATCTCACGGGCGCAGCCCTGAGCAGCGAGCAGTCAGCTCCGTGCGGTGAAGTCGAGATAAGATGGTGGCTCGAGTGCACTGGCCACGGGAGCGAGGCAGGCAGCGCCCTAACTGCCGTGCACGGGTCCAAAGGTGAGTGTTCTGCCTGTCAGATGAACGCTGTGTGCATCGCCCACTGCACCACAAAGGCTTATGGGAGAGCAAGGTAAAGATTTATTAGCTGCTCGTAAAGCATACATATTTCTGTGGCTGCCTCATCCTGCAGTAGATCATGTTTATATGAGCGTCTCCTGTACACTCCTCTGTGTCTGCACTTACAACCAGCACACACGCCGGACGCATGAGAGCCAGTGTGGAGAGGATGAGGGGGAATTCCAGAGTGGAATTTTGATGTCTCAAGTCCAGTTACTCACAGCACTCATAATTGTTTCTTATAATAGAAGCTACGGAGGTATATGGCTCGCAATCCAGTACTGAAAACAGGGTACGCACATCGGTGTGGAAGAGGCGTGCAGGAAAACAATCTGAATTAAATCTGTCGAAGGGAATTATTAGAAACAATGCATATGAAGTGAGGATATGTATCCAAAGCAGACGTCCATCCGTAGAAGGAGAAGAAATGTGACCTCCAGCATTCCTTTTCTTTATTTAAGCCTCTACAGAAAAGGAGAAGCAGGAAGGGGTGACTTCTGGTTTTGTTAGGCTATTAGGGAGCCCTCGTGTGGTCGCCAATGGTCCCTGCAAACTAGCCAAGTAGAGCCCAATAGAAATTTCAGTAATTCTTATTCCACCCATTTTCTCTGGGCACTTACAGTACATAAATCAACTCTCAAATACACTCAATCTTAAAGAATATTAGTGAGTGAGAATGCCACAACCCCACCGCCTTGGCCAGGGATCTCCACGGAATCCACCAAGCCTCACTTAAGAAACTCCCTTACATTTCACCCAAAGTTAGCCCACTACAAGTCACATTCCTTCCTTCCTGTGAAGCTGCCCTTAGGTGGGCAAAAGGGCTCATCATCCCCACTTTTTAATAAATATATATTTTATTGATTTCAGAGAGGAAGGGAGAGGGAGAGAGAGATGGAAATATCCATGATGAGAGAGAATTATGGATTGGCTGCCTCCTACACACCCAACACTGGGGATCGAGCCTGCAACCAGGGCATGTGCCCTGACCGGGAATTAAACCGTGACCTCCTGGTTCACAGGTCAACGTTCAACCACTGAGCCACACCAGTCAGGCTCATCATCCCCTCTTACGTATTTTATCACATTATGAATTCTCTCTCACCATCCTCTAAATGTAAGAAAACCTCTCGTTTCTTTCCTCTCCCCTCCTATAGGCTGCTTCTTATATTGGGCACGTGGGCTCCATGTGTCTCCAAAGAAGTCTTGTCAACATCCCAGCACTCCCCAGCCTCCACATGAGCATCTCTAAGTCAAACCAGGAAAGCGAGACAGGGAGGGGGAGCCACACATCACCCCCCTGGAGCACCCAGCAGCCCCAGTCGGGGGTCCCAGGGTCAGCAGCCCTGTCGGGGGTCCCGGGGTCAGCAGCCC